CTACAAAACTGCAGTTGCTGAACTGATTCAAAGTCATTAAGCTCCTGGGCCCTCGCACTAAAAATATTGTCATTTTGGTGGTTTGAATACAAAGCGACCGCGACTAACGTGACTTCCAAGCCACAGCGCAGAGACGTCGAGGAGACGATGGTCATCCATGGTCCATGTGTCACCGGCTTGCACCACCAGCCCCTGCGGTCTGAATCGCCCATTAGATCCAATTAATTTGTAGGTTCGTTTGGTTCTTTCTAACCGCAGATGGCATCCGCCCAACAAACATGCCACTGAAAGGTGTTTCCGAAGATCATGCTGAAAAAGACCATGAGAGATGGGCTTTTACATAATACCAATGTATATCAGTGAATGTCAGTCATATCTCTCCATATCAATTATTAACATTTGTTATTGAATATATTCATTGAATTTGGTCATGGATGATGGTTGTTTTTACCCGTTGAACATTGGCATTCCCACGGACCTGGATGCAGGTGCCCCGGAGCAGCAACGCATGCGCATTGCCATCGCCGGGAGCGGCCTGCCATCCGACAACCCACTGGTCTTGGAGGCGCGGCCATGGCGGGGGAAGCGGTGGGTTGGTTTCGGTCTGGTATAAAGAGCAGAAGAAATGCTGAATGCATAACATATTAACATATAACATATCACATTTACAATATGATCAATATGTGTACATATAGCTCTAATTGTATATATGTATAGTAAGTTTCCAACAGTTAGAATATGTAAATTTGACTGGGTCGCTCTTAGAATGGAAAAAATGATACTTTCAAAAACGTCGCACTCAGAATATTTTTTTTGCAGTTAGAATATGTTATTTATATATGTTATATTTCATATATTTATTGATTATTGTTGTTACTTTTTCTTAATATATATATATATATGTGAAACTATATATATATATACTGATTTGAAACATATGTTCTAAAGGAAACACTATATATTTAAATATGATTATTATATATATATATACATCGATATTTGGTAGCCAACAATGCTGGCACATTTATATTAATAGTTGGTAGCCAACAATGCTGGCGCGCCAACAATATTATATATATAAAGGTTGATTGTTTGCTACAGGACTGTCAAACAAGATTCTAACTGCAATGTTTTGTAACAATCCGAATATAGAAATCAAATAACAAAAAACCACCAAATTCCTTTAAATTCCTTAAAAAACGAATTCACCACAAGACATGGGACGTCCAATTCCCTATGTTTCTAAAATTCCTTTAAATTCATTTAAATTCCTTTAAATTCCTTAAAAAACGAATTTACCACATGACATGGGACTTCCAATTCCTTTAAATTCCGTTATTGGAAATTCCTCGAAAATTCCTTTAAACTTCCTTTAAATTCCTTTAAATTTCCTTTAAATTCCCCTAAATTCCTTTCAAATTCCTTTAGATTTATTCAAATTCCTTCAAAATCTTTTGAAATGCCAACAATATTATATATAAAGGTTGGTAGTTTGCTACAGGACTGTTAAAAAAGATTCTAACTGCAATGTTTTGTAACAATTTGAATATAGAAATCAAATACCCAAAAACCACCAAATTCCTTCAAATTCATTTAAATTCCTTCAAAATAAAAGACGAATTTACCATATGACATGGGACTTCCAATTCCTTATTTTGGCTAGCAAGAATTCTTTAAATTCCTCCAAATTCTTTTAAAAGCCATTTCAATTCATTATTTAAAAAAATATTTTAAAATTCCTGTAAATTCTAGAAAAAAACGAATTTACCCCATGACATGGGACTTCCAATTCTTTCAAGTCCATAAAATTCCTTTCAAATTCCTTTAAGAGTCATTTAAATTCCTTTGAATTCTTTTAAAACCCCTTTAAATTCATTTAAATTCCTTTATTTGCATTATAGCTTCTAAATAGCTGCTAGCTAGCTGCTAAATAGCTTCCAAATAGTTGCTGAATAGCTCATAAATAGCTGCTAGCTAGCTGCTAAATAGCTTCCAAATAGTTGCTCAGTAGCTTCTAAATAGCATCTAGCTAGCTGCTAAATAGCTTCTAAATAGCTGCTGAATAACTACTAAATAGGTGCTAAATAGCTGCTAAATAGCTTCCAAATAGTTGCTGAATAACTACTAAATAGCTTCTAGCTAGCTGCTAAATAGCTTCCAAATAGTTGCTGAATAACTAATAAATTTGTGTTAAATAGCTTTTACATAGTTGCTGAATAGCTTCTAAATAGCTGCTAGCTAGCTGCTGAATAGCTTCCGAATAGTTGCTGAATAGTTTCTAAATAGCTGCTAGCTAGCTGCTAAATAGCTGCTAGCTAGCTGCTAAAGAGCTTCAAAGTAGTTGCTGAATAGCTTCTAAATAGCTGCTAGCTAGCTGCTAAATAGCCTCCAAATAGTTGCTGAATAGCTTCTAAATAGTTGCTAGCTAGCTACTAAATAGTTTCAAATAGTTTCTGAATAGCTTCTAAATAGCTGCTAGCTAGCTGCTAAATAGCTTCTAAAAAGTTGCCGCATAATTCCTAAATAGGTGCTAAATAGTTGCTAAATAGATTGCAAATAGTTGCTGAATAGCTTCTAAATAGCTGCTAGCTAGCTGCTAAATAGCTTCCAAATAGTTGCTGAATAGCTGCTAAATAGCTGCTAGCTAGCTGCTGAATAGCTTCCAAATAGTTGCTGAATAGCTTCTAAATAGCTGCTAGCTAGCTGCTAAATAGCTTCCGAATAGTTGCTGAATAGTTGCTGAATAGTTTCTAAATAGCTGCTAGCTAGCTGCTAAATAGCTTCCAAATAGTTGCTGAATAATTAGTAAATAGGTGCTAAATAGCTTCTAAATAGCTTCCAAATAGTCGCTGAATAGCTTCTAAATAGCTGCTAGCTAGCTGCTAAATAGCTTCCAAATAGTTGCTGAATAGCTTCTAAATAGTTGCTGAATAGCTTCTAAATAGCTGCTAGCTAGCTGCTAAATAGCTTCCAAATATTTGCTGAATAGCTTCTAAATAGCTGCTAGCTAGCTGCTAAATAGCTGCTAGCTACCTGCTAAATAGCTTCAAAATAGTTGCTGAATAGCTTCTAAATAGCTTCCAAATAGTTGCTGAATAGTTCTAAAGAGGTGCTAGCTAGCTGCTAAATACTTGCTGAATAGCGTCTAAATAGTTGCTAGCTTGCTGCTAAATAGTTTCCAAATAGTTGCTGAATAGCTTCTAAATAGCTGCTAGCTAGCTGCTAAATAGCTTCCAAATAGTTGCTGAATAATAGCTTCTAAACAGCTGCTAGCTAGCTGCTAAATAGCTTCCTTAAATAGTTGCTGATTAACTACTAAATAGCTCCTAGCTGTTAAATAGCTTCCAAATAGTTGCTGAATAGCTTCTAAATAGCTGCTAGCTAGCTGCTAAATAGCTTCCGAATAGTTGCTGAATAGCTTCTAAATAGCTGCTAGCTAGCTGCTAAATAGCTTCCAAATAGTTGCTGAATAGCTTCTAAATAGCTGCTAGCTAGCTGCTAAACAGCTTCCAAATAGTTGCTGAATAGCTTCTAAATAGCTGCTTGCTAGCTGCTAAATAGCTTCAAAATAGTTGCTGAATAGCTTCTCAAAAGCTGCTAGCTACTTGCTAAATAGCTTCCAAATAGTTGCTGAATAACTAATAAATAGGTTCTAAATAGCTTCTAAATAGCTTCCAAAAGGTTGCTAAATAGATGCAAAACAACTCCTAAATAGTTTCTGAATAATTGATAAATGGCTTCTAAATAGCTTCGAAATAGCTGCTAAATAGCTTCAAGCCCTTGTTGAGTTGGCACAGGGATTATTGATTCCTCTCTGGTTTATCACCCACTATGGGAAGCTTTTTTGACATGGAAATAAAAGGGACAGCGGAGGTTAATACCCCAAGTAAGGAATCACACAACTGGATAATCTTTCACATATTATGCATTCATTAGTACTATCATTGTCACGACATTTCTCCAAATCAAAAGATAATATAATATAGTGGATAATTTTCAGCATGATTTAGTATGATTACATTTCTTACTACTATCTTTTCTTACAAAAGAATCCGTCCAACATTTCCAGATAGTTATTCCCTATGACATGCCCCCCAACTGTTAGAAAACACACCAACTATTGTGCTATATGCAATGAATATTTTGAATAAAGCTAGTTTGCATGTACAGTTTTAGTTCTTAATAAATATTCACTCTTATGTCACAACTAATACCAGCATATGAAACAATGGTAAATCTTGCCCCTATGACACCAAGTGCCAACTGTTGTAATGGCAACATGTACCACCCAACATATATAGTGCCAGAATTACACCCGTAAAACTGGACCATATCTTCTATCATTAAGACATCTAAATATATTTTATATCAACATACACATACATATGTATATATATATACACACACATGCTCTCTCTCTCTCTATATATTTAATATATATATATATGTATATATAATATCTATACATATACATGATATGATTTATATCCACCACCACCCATTTTTCCCCCCCGTTTCGGCTTCACGGTGACCGCAGGCCTGGAGTTTGCTGCGTCAATGGGAACAGGACAACGTGGCGCTGCGCGCCGAGGCGCGCCTGACCAGCGCCGTGGAGCGGGTGCACGGCGGCTTCAACAGCGCGCAGCCGGAGGCGGCGGACGTTCACCCGGAATAAAAGTGGTGGGTTTTCATGGGACAAAGGGATTTATGTGAATTTTATGGGAATTGCATGGGATTTCATGGGATTTAAGTAGTAGTGGGATGTAGTGCTGATTTAAGGCTCATTTGATGGTGATTCATGGGATTTACAATGGGAACATCTGGAGATGATGATGACATCTTGGAAGATGTGGCACCGATCCAAAGACCTGAGTATAGGCACGGTCAATATCTGATTAGGCAGCTCAGTATTGCACATCAACCAACAACTACTACAACAGTCTCAACGCCAACTTGAACAATTCCAACGCCAACTTGACCAACTTCAACGCCAAATACAA